GGGGGGGGGGGGGGGGGGAGTCCAAGGATGGGAGACAAAAAATAAATAAAAACATCGTGGACAACCACATGGCGTCCGCTGTACGGGTTTGATGGCACTCGCCACCGCCTCTCTTGAATTGAAGGCTTTGATGACGTGGATTGTCCTCAGAGATCAAAAGGCAGAAATGAGAAAATGCGAATTTCTTCTAAGAAGTAAGAGAATCAGGGGGATGCGACAGTCCAGGAGTAAGAAATGCTTTTTAAGAAGATGGACGAAGCAGGCTGGTCCTTCGACCCAAGAACAAGGGATTGAGGCTCGACCTGATTTTGACGTTTCTCAACAGCGGGCGCTATCTGTATGCGTACAATAGATGCTGCTGTACCCATGTCCATTATGCGGTAGGATTGCGAACGGTCCAGTTCAAGACACAGCACTATGACGCGGGCTGCTGTCCTTCTTGCTCCTGCTAACCATCTGCGTGCCCATTGGACCACCTCGCCATGTTGGTTCGGTTGGCCTGTGCGAAGTATTTATTATTTTTACGATGTTGAAAAAAGTTTATGGTATTCGTGCAACGATAGAAGTCTTAAAAAATATTATAGCTAGAAAATGGTAATGAAGTTTCAATGCGATCCCGTTTTGGGCAAGATTCTAATATATATGTTCTAAAATGGAAAAGAGGTTCTATAGCACGATCAAAAGATGCAAATTTAGTGCTTTAAATAAGTGTAGAAAAAGAAAATTTAGTCGAGGCTCATTGAAAATGTTCATCACTTGTGGGTGTTGGAAGTTATACTATGAGTAAAACATCGTATCCCTTTAATTTAAGTATTGAATCTCCTTTTCTATCTGATTGGTTCTTTGGTTTTTCCGCCCTGTCGCAGGACTCCTAACCTGTTATTCTTGTCTTTTCCAAGGCGTGGTATATGTTACCCGTAGGTTGCACATGATATCGCACCCCCTGGCCCGAATTTCAAAGCTCGATTTCTCGGCAGGAAAGCAGTGACGGTGACGAAAATGGCGTTAGGCTTTGGAACCGTCTCGTCGAGAGCTTCCGGCAACACATCCTTTCATTACAGCATCCTCTTCGTCGTGGAGTAATGAAGTTCTGAGAATCATTCCAGGGGTGTGGTATCTTACGTCATGTAACCTACGGTAGCTCCTACACGATGGTAAGGTCCGTCCAAGTTCACGCCGAGCTACAAGGGAATCTCCTAACCCTCGCTACATGTCTCCATCTTTTTTCGTTGGACACAAGCCATTGATACACCTGCTGTCAGTCATCTCTGGTACATTGTCTCGATTGCATCGTGTGCTTTTCGTCGTTAACCTGTACAGCAAAGATGCACGACCCCCCTCTATACCCTGGCAGACCTTGCGTAACCCCCACGTGCATTATGATCGTCCACGGCAGCCGTCTACGACTCCCCCCCCCCGATATATTATGACTTTCCGCCCCATTGCCCCTCGTGTATTCTCCCGCTCTTCGTGTCAATCCGACCAAGACGCGAGCTCCTGTGCGACCGTAAGGACCCTTACGCGCACCTTTCTCCTCGGCGGCTAGCCTTCACCGTCGTAAAGTCGGGGTTCGTGGTGGCCGCGCCCATGCTCAACGAAGTCATCTTGGAAAACTTAGATGAGGTGAAGCTGATGATGTGTGTACTGCTGTTGCATCTGTCTTCTGTACGCCCTCCTTTGGGTATCGTAGGTTGTTGCGACGGCGGAGTGCTACCTCACAGCCGTAGCTGCTATACGGAGGAAGAGGGTTTGTCATAACAGTTGTTCATGTGAAAAGGGCAACTTTTATGTACTGCTTTATCCGCAGCAGCAGCAGCAGCAGCAGCTAATGACAGGCGCAGTGAAGAGAGCACCGCCTGTCACATGCCTAAAAAGCGTGGTCATCTTGTAGACTTTGTACAGGTTCACCGCCGGCAGCTGCTGCAGCTGCTGCTGCTGCAACCCCTTGTACCGTAGTACAACGACAGCCTGACGAAATATGGACTAGATGGCAACAACGAGGGTATTGGATTGCTCCATAGCTTTGTTTCATGAACTCCATCTCCCATACGACGAGAACACGTGCTTCCATACGGCGACAAGAACGGCGGGCGGTGGTCTGGGTGCCGGTCATGGCTGCGGACGCCCCGTTTCCCTTTTCTTTTTGACGATCCTCGGTGTTCGAATATACTAATACTTGTACCTGTTTATGCCTGCGACACTGCTGTCCATGTCGGTGTGGTTTGTTAACCTGCTGCATGAGTGCTTACCGGCTGACAAAACCCCCCGCAATGCAATCGATCCACCTTCCGAACGAAATCGAATATCTACCACGCGCCGATCGTATACTATCGGCATCGATCGTATCGGCAGAACAACCAAAGTGGAGGCGGACGAGGAAGCTTTGGCGGCGGCAGGATTGGTGGGGACCCTTTCGGTACCAACATCCGACGGGTGTACGTAGGCCAGGACGGCGAGCTGGTGTTTGAGCGAGCGGGGGAGGAAAAGAAGAGAGAGGAAGGGGACCAAACCGACGGGGACGTGGCCAAGTCCCTGAGCAAGTCCTTCGAGCTCTTCCCAGCCTTGGTACGTCGGAGAGAAAAAGAAAGATGGCGCCTTGGCTCCTGTGCAGTTCTTGTGGAGTGAGGAGTGTGGGTTTGGAGCAGTTTTTGGCTTGTGTCCTTGTAGTTGTGAACGAAGAAATGAGCCGCCGTTTTCGATCGTCACCAAGGCAGAGCAGTGAGGTCTTCGAGCACACATTCTCTCTCGCTCTCGCTTTTCCGGTTTTTGGTGTGAGTGCAAGTTACACCATTGAAACATGGAAAAAATTTCATCGTGATGCGCATGGTAACTATTGCCGAAAAGCAACATCAACATTGAGACGAAAAGAACGAAGAGAGAGAAAAGAACGCGCCTGGTACCCGTATTCTTGCCCCCCGCCGTTTTTATATGTTTTTCGTGTCAAGCCCTGCGGGAATCTTCTCCCATCACCAATCACCACAGGGCGAGGTGTGCGTATTTCTTATGCCATGCTTGTCTCCGCTTGGCTCCTGCTAGTTTTGCGTTCTTTTATGTGCGGCTGCTGTCCTTCGGTGGGTACCCTAACCACCCTCCCCGAGATTTTGATCTAGGTGACGACCGTCCCTTTGTCCCGAACCTCAAAGCCCTACCCTTTTCCCGTAAAACAGACTTTTCGGAGAGTGTTGCACAGCGTGATGACGGTGTCGACACAGCGGCTGCTGGAGTGGCAGGCCGTCTTGCACCTTCCTGCCCGGACGGCCGATCGTTTGACGAAGGCAAGGCAAGCTGCTGCTGTTTAGCCTGGACTGCAACAACCCTTACCCTGGCCCTGATCCTCCAGGCTTTTGATATGGCATCTGCCCACCCGCTCCGGCTGTTGTCGCCCTTCTGAATCATACACACTTGGGATGCAATGAATGGGGATGTTAGACGTTAAGCTTTTCGCGTCCCCTTTGATCCCAATCCGTGCATGCTTTCTCCAGACTTTAACATCCGGCTGCCATTCTCGAGTACTCACAACATCGGTCGGAGGACGTTGTTGTGTGGTTTTGCTTCTGTTGTAACTATAATTACACTGTGCCGTTAGTGGTTGTTTCATGTGCAGAGGTAGTTTGGGTTGCGCAGCAGCAGGTGGTGTAACTACGATAGAGATCGGTCCATGATATTGCAGATACAAGAGACAGTGCCGATGGTGTTGCTACGGTAGAGAGAGGTCCCTCGGTGGTGCCCACTGCGGTCCCTCGGTGGTGCCCACTGGCGCCTGTTGTGTCGATGCCGCTACAGAACCTCTAGGTTTGGCCGGTGGGCCGGTGGGTTCCTAGTTCCTAGGGCCATGCTACGAATGGTCGCTATGTAGGTTATGTGTAGGGGTTCTTGGCCGAGCTCACAAACAAGTGCTCAAGTTCTTGGATTTTGAGTTTTTTCAGGCCATGTAAATTCTCTCAACTGTCTGTTAAGTGCGGTCGCGTTCTGTATTGGCCGTTACTCCGTCGTCGACCCGCAGAACATAGCTCTGTCGGCGCTGCGCAAGACGGAGCGCATGTCTCGGAGCATGGCAGCCGCCAGGATGACTCTCACCGCCGCAAGGTCGCTCTTCTTCCAAAACCTGGCTCTCTTCATCGTGGACGAGCTGTTCCTTGGCGTCCGCGTTGGGCTTACCGAAAGGTAAGGCCCTGACTCTGTATCATTCTTGTTCTTGTACCTGGGCATATCTTGGTGATAGGTACGGCATTTTGTGCTCTTTTCCGTGTGTACATGACGCACATGACCACAAATTGGACTTCCTACATGGCAACATGCTACGCGTATGAACGCTGACTTAAAAGTGATGAAAATGTTACAGCGTCACGGGGTTGGTTGCGACATGTACGACAGATCTGCGCCCAAGCACATATTGCTCCCCTCCTTATTTTAGGAGTACTGTTCGTGGTAAATTTCACCCATCGGCAAGAGCCCACGTGGGGCTTTCGTGTTCCATGCCCTTAATTGAAACGTTTGGTGTTTTCTTGTTGTGACCGGGGGTCTCCGGATGGGATCAGCGGGCTTCCGGATGTATCTACTGTAGTCCGCTTACGACCGCGGGGCTCCGGATGTACACGTAATGGTGAGGTAGCTGGCTGGTGGTATCTATCCTCCGAAGGCTGTGCGATGGCAGCCTCTCCTCACACCCTACCCCGCCGCCCACAAGTGGCCACTGCTGTGTCCTGAACAACTCGAGAATAGAAAGTAGCTGTTGTTGTTGTTGTTGTTGTTGTTGTCTTCACATTAAAAACCGTTCCGATCTCTCTCTACCCAGTACCTTCGTATGTCCGAACTGATACAATACTCGACGCGGTCGATTCCCGTGGTCGCAGGCTATCTTACCCTAAAAAGGTACACTAAAAAAATTGCCCCGAGGGGTCCGCAAGTCAATAGAAATCAACGACAGATATTCTGGAGTCCTCCACTCCCTCTGCGCGCTATGCGAGGTATAACAACTGAGACTAGGGGTCACCATCACGGGCCGGAGAGAAAGAGGTACACCCCATTGGTTAAATCTTGGTACTTCACAACGCAAGCAGAGACAAGGCCATCTGGTACAAAAAAAGAGAAATGAAAGGAAACAGTACTAGAAGGAAAGAGAAAATGAAATAAAAAGAGCGAGGACAAAAAGGGACCAGGCCGAAAATAACAAGAAATAGGAGACAGAAAAAGGCACAGGGTGGAGAGACCACTAACGACAAGCAAACACGCAAACATGGCCACCAA